TTCACATGCCGGATCCTTGTTTGTGTCAAGTTGTGAAGCACCCTGAACACTTGGTAGTCATCTGCAAGCCTACTATGTCTAAAGCGTCTACGGGCAGGGTTGTAGCTCTTCTGCAGGTCTTTAATTTTCTGACACATCCAAGGAGCATAATTGTTGTGACAAGGAGCATAATAGGTGACGAAATGTAGAGGTTTTGAGAGGGGCATGGGTATTGAAGAGATTGGTAGTAAGAATATCAACCATAGAGTCGATAGAAGAGAAAGAATATATTCCATTCCAATCTAGGATTTCCAGGTCAGATAATATTTTTTCTCTGGTAAGGGAATCTAGATGGCGGAAGGTGATAGTTCGAGGCTGGATAGGAGGGGTTTGGATATTATATGTCATTTGTATCAGATTGTGAGATGACAAAAAGGATACTGGCAGTTGGGAAGAGGAGAGGAGGTTTTGTGCAGAGTCTATAATGTAGAAATCTAGCCAAGTGTCGGACCTGCTAGTATGGTGAGTGGGAGGAAAAATAACGATAAAGAGGTGAAGGGAGAAGAATAGGTATTACTGGATTTTACCCAATGGAGCCAGGATCCCTTCTCTCATCCTTCCTTCCCTCCAGCCAAACACCAACTGCTTGCCAAAACAAAATCCTTTGTCTGTTCCCTCTCCTCTTTGAAATTTGCCTTTTTGGGCAGCTACAGAGCAGCTATTTTATTTTCTGAACTAGTGAAACTAGATTAGCTTGCTTTTTAACTGTAACATTAATTTATTAAATAATTTTTAACAACTGTCAATTAAGGTGTATATTACATTTCTCCCCACTTTCAGATAAAAAAAAAAAAAAAACTTAAGTAAAATAATTTTTTTATATTTAAATTAAATTTAGGTGAATACTGAAACATCTGCACATTACTTATTCAATACAAACAAAAATGTTTAAATATTTTCTCTGAGTTACATCTTAACTATTTTTGTTTTTGAACTTTTATCTTTTTCTTACAGATTCTTTTCTTAAAGAATTATTCATATGACATATTGACATATACAAGATAAATTACAGTAACATATGAATACTAAAATTAAATTGAAGACCATACCTTAATTTTAAACTAATTTATAAACTTATTTATTTATTTATTTATTGTTATATTCCGCATCTACCCAAGCGGGTCATTAGCAGCAAATTTATAAACTTCATACAGTAATTACATAAGTTGTTGATATAATTTATGTACAGGAAAAATAAGTAAAGTAGATTGATATACAAGTAATAAAATACTCTATATACATTATTTACAAAAAACTTTACAGTATAATTTCCATATTTTATATACAATTAACTTACAAAATAAATGCTTATATTATTGATGTAACATTCTAAAATATTAATAACTTTTATTACAGAAATAAACAAAGAGAACACATTGATTAATTAAAGCCATTTCTAATTTTCTTCTAAAATATGGATTTTACCAAGCAATATCCGGCCAAAACAAATTAAAACTTATTAAACTTTTAAATATTATTATCAATAATTCACTCTGAGATCCATTACCTTCTGTTCATAAAATTTATAATTAGAATCCTAATCTTAGCTATACCAACAACCTAATTATACTATTTACAAAGATATATACACATTATATTTACAAGTTATCCAGTTCAGGTTACCTAACGATGGATTCGCCAGGACTATCTAGCTCGTCAACAGAAGAGATGCTAAAAGGGATTTTAAATCTTTTTTATCCTCTGGAACAGGATAAAGACTAGTGTCTCACTATAACATAATAAGTGACCTGCCCTAACATGATCCTGGATCATATAACCTCCATAAAACTCATATTCTAGAATGAGTAGGATGACTGGTAGTCCATCACACTCAAAATTATACTTAGTGAGTCCATGGAACGACATTTCATATAATCCTGTTCTTTCCTTACTCCAGTCATTGAACTTTCCTAACTCATCTTTGAATCGTAGAGTTGTCTTTCCTGGAATTAAAGACACTTCTGGACTAAAATAACTACCATACTCTGCTGGATTTTATTCCTTTAAACTTGATTTGAAATTTGAGAAGTTCTTTCTTGGTATCTATAAGATTGACAGTTTCTGCCGGAACTTCTGCTGTCACTAATTTTTCTTCAAGGGTTTCTTTCTCTTTTCTTAAGAGATTTTCTGATCCAATATCAATTGAAGAATTGATTTTGCTAAGCTCTTCAGTAACAGTTTGCTTCTCATCACTTTCTAAGTGACCAAAGGAAGTTTTCTCGGCCAGTGTAGTTTCTTGATCTTCAGTTATATTTACAATTATTTGTGTGTCTAGGTTATCACAATCTTATTTCAAAGTTTCCTGTTTATTATTAGATTCTAATGTTTTATTTGAATTATCCAAATTTTTCTCTAAATTATGAAGCATAGCCATGTGCACAATGGACCCATTAGGGATCGATGTGCTCATGGCCAACACAAAAAAAAAAGAAAAAAAAAAAGCATAGCCATTATTAGTTGAAACATATTATTAGGATCAGTACAATTCAAATTGTGGCTAAAACTTATATTTATTTTTTCACCTCCACATTATTTTCACTAAACTCATGAATTACATTAAATACCGACAGACTTTCACTTCCCTTGCAAGTACTGATAAAGAATAAGGCCTCCCACAATAAGGCCACCTCGGACGATCACTTTATACTTTTGGGATACTTCCTAAATAAATAAGAGGTTGTTAACTATAAACAAAATCATAAGAGTATTAATGTATTAAAATGAAATTTACAATTATTTTATCTCAGATATGAGTTACTGACAATCAGATCAAAACACTCAGATAAACTACTATTATTTAATTAACACTATTTATAATAAAATTAAACACTAATTTTAAAATAAAGTCAAGTATGGATTGACAAGCTAACCTTTTTTTCTACATATACTGTTTCTTCCTTTGTTGCACTAAATTTATTTGTCTTCAAACATTTCCCAAAGTTCTGCCAAACACACATTCCAAAATGGTAACACTTTCATCAACTCAACTCAAGCTTCCTGGGAGATCCTCTCTCTTGTAATGCCAAACAACTAGTCTCTCCACCAAACAACTTCCAAGGTGGTAATACTATTATTGGGTTTTAACCACAGCAGCCAGAATCCCTTCTCCCATCCTCTCTTCGCCCCAGCCTAACACCAACTGCTTGCCAAAACAAAATCCTTTGTCCGTCCCCTCCTCTTTCAGATTTTCCTTTCTGGAGAAACTACAGAGCAGCTATTTTCTTTTCCCTAAACTAGTGGGACTGAATTTCTAACTGTTACATTAATTTATTAAATCATTTTTAACGACTTTCAATTAAGGTGTCTATTACAATATATATATACATATACATGCACACACACACACACACATATATATATATATATATATATATATATATATACATATATATATATATATATATATATATATATATATATATATATATATATATATACATATAACTTGAATAAATGCTATCCTCAAATACAACTCATGGGTCATCTTTGGTTTAATGCTTTATAAGGAAGTACTAAACCAAACATTTGTGTGAAGAGGCAAATGAATATTTGTATGAAGAGATCAATGTTTGTGTGAGAAGGTGAATTAACCCTTATCTCACCAGATTTCCTATAATTAATGATTTAATTAAGATTAACCACTTTAGACTTGAAACCGGAGCGTAGCAACATAATGCCTTCCTCATTGAGCTTCCCTGCTATCGGAATATAAATATATATACATCCTTATCAATTGTCCTTTACCTGTTTTAATTAAGTAAGTATTAAGGAATTGGCTAGGTACAAGTTCATTTGTCGGTCTTTAGATTTACAAGAAGAGGTTCTAAATGCATATAAATGCTTTCGGAGAGGAGTTGAATGCTTTCTTCTTTGTTGGAAACAGTTGCTTGGATAGAAGATTTTTTTAAATTGAATGAATGCTTTATGGATAAGACATTTTTGGAGAGTTTTTAGGTTTTAGAGTTAGGGAAGGAAGTTAAATATTTATTTTCTAATATCCTATTCCTGATTTACCATTTATTCTTTTAACTTATGTAACTTAATATTTTATTTCATTACTTTGTTTTTAGTTTTTTATATTATACATATCTTATTTGTTTTATTCTATACTAATTATATTTATTTTAATTTTGTTTAATAATTTTAAAAAAATAAATAATTTATTTATAATTACTTATATATATGCTAATCTCATTTATCAAATTATTTTACATTTTGTCATATTGTCCATTATCTTTTAATATATAAATTTAATATATGATCTTTCATATATATTACCATTTCTTGCAATCATATATTATAGGTATATATTTTAAATTATCTCACATAACATAATTTTTCATATATTGATTAATTTATTAATTAACTTTATTTTTCATAATTTACTCATACATGTTTGATTTATCATTATCTTTTCCATGCTATTTTTTTTTCATGATTTATTTTTCTTTATTTTCCTGATTCTCTTCCTTGAATAAGACTTCTTATTTATTCTATGACTGCACCCCAAACAACTTCTTTACTATATATATATATATATATATATATATATATATATATATATATATATATATATATATATATATATATATATATATATATATAAATATTATTAAGACTATAACAAGTCTTAATCCAACAAAGTAAACAAGAAATCACCCGCGCTGCCCATCCCTGGTAAGTAAGTCGAAGTCGATAGATCTAATAAATCTAAGAAATTCTGTCTTGAATTCAGTAAATATAAATATATATAGTAAAGAAGTTGGTTGGGGTGCAGTCATAGATTAAATAACAAGTCTTATTCTAGGAAGAGAATTAGGAAGATAAAGAAAAATAAATATCATAAAATAAAAAAAAAATAAAAATATATATATATATATATATATGATATATATATATATATGATATAGGAATATTGCATGTTTTACTTTTTATTAACAATATGTGTATCAATGTTTTAGGACAGTTTACATTTTATTACTGATATTGACACATCTTGCAATGATTTGGCCTCAATTTTTTCAGCAAGCACAAAAAAAATTTATACGTCAACATTTAATGCTTGGTTTTTGAAGATAAATTTGAATGTAAGTTTGTCTGAATTTAGATCTTTCCTATAGTTAATTTTTTAAATTATATTCAATATTTTATTTTTTCTCTGTTTACAGTTGAATTGTATGAATGCTTATTAATAGTATTATATTATCATTTCTTGCAATCATATATTAAAATGTTTATATTTTAAATTATCTCACATAATGTAATTTTTCATTCATTGATTAATTTATTAATTAATATTGTTTTTCATCATTTGCTCCTACATATTTACTTATCACTATCTTTTTCATAGCATTTTTATTTTCATGATTTCTAGTTATATAAATTTTCTTTCTCTTCCTAATTGGTTGTAATATTGTTTTTGATTAGCCTTTACAAAGGCCTAAAACTTAGGCTAAGAAGTTGGGATATAATCAAATAAGACTTGTTATTTAATCTATGACTGCACCCCAACCAACTTCTTTACCACACACACACACACACACACACACACACACACACACACACACACACACACACACACACACACACACACACACACACACACACACACATACATATATATATATATATATATATATATATATATATATATATATACATAAGATACAAAATGCATACATAAGATATATATTTATTTATTTGAAAATAATTATTTAATTATGTTCAAATATAATACTCAAGGTCGATTGAAGAAATTTTGTAAATATATATATATATATATATATATATATATATATATATATATATATATATATATATATATATATTTCTCTTTCTAATTGGTTGTAATATTATTTTTGATTGGCCTTGACAAAGGCCTAAAACAGGCCGAGAAGTTGGAATATAATCAAATAAGACTTCTTATTTAATCTATGACTGCACCCTAACCAACTTCTTTACTATATATAATAATAATGTTTTATTTATTATGGGACGAGTCCCTTTAGAATAATACAGAAAGACAAAAATGTGGGCTAAGGAGCCTCAGAGATACATAAACAAAAATATAGAGTAAGTGAATAATCAAAATAAAAATAAATAAATTATAAATTGCTTTCTAATTTAAATCAGTTAATAATAAAAAAAAATCAAAATAAACATGAAGTAAAAATAATGAAGAACGATCTGATAATTTATATACATATTTACATTAGTAACTATTTACAATTTCATGGGGACTGGATGGATAAAAAATGATTGAACAGGTGGGTTTTAAAGGTATGAAGAGTTTAATTTGTATTTAATTTTTAATTTTGAAATTAATTTAATTTAATATATATATATATATATATATATATATATTTTTTTTTTTTTTTCCCTACTTGGTAACCCCACACAAGGATCGTTTATTTTTCCTTCATGCTCCATGCCTTAAAGACATACTACATGAATTACATTTGTTTACAATTGTTTTTTTTTTCTAGTTTCACATGATTTACATTTTTAGTTCAAATTTATATACATTAACAAAAAAAGACACAAAGAATAAACACACAAAAATTAAATCGGAAAATTAAATATTAAACACACAAAGTCAATCCAACAAAGTCAAAAAGAAATCACCCACGCTGCCCATCCCTGGTTAGTAAGTCGAAGTCGATCGATCTAATAAATCTAAGAAAGTCTGTCTTGAATTCAGTAAATAACTTTTGTTCCGTCTCAGGCCAATTTCCTCTTTTGATAATTATGCTTTTTATTAACTCAAATCGTTTACATTCATATATTATATGTTTAAAATTTTGAACCTGTCCGTCTTCATCACATAAGTCTGTTTGTATAATGTTGAATCTTTTAAGATATTGTTTTGTATTCCCATGTTCCGTAAGTACTTGCGTAAGTTTGTAGTCATTACTATGAATGTGTCTGTAATTGTGAATTGAAATGTGTGGTATAAATCTGTGTAAGCTTGGTGACTTAGCTGAGGTCACCCATATGTGATCCCATCTTTTGATGAAATCCAACTTTAAATTCATATTAATATACGATAAAGGAGCTTGATGATACGATGGCGGCAAATCGCTTTTAGCTGCTTCTTTTGCAAGGCAATCGGCTCGTTCATTGCCCTCAATCCCACAATGTGCTTTTACCCATTTTAGAGTCACTACTTTCCCTACAGTTCTCATCATTAACAATTTGTTTCTAATTTGGTCAGTCAAGTAATCATGAATGTCCCAATTATTAACAGAGTCTAGCAGAACTTTGTTGTCTGTATTTATAGTAACGTGAGTATTCGTTTGTAGAGGGTATTCATATATGTATTCAGTAACCTTTAAAACAGCGAATTTTTCTGCCTGATTATTTGAGCAATATGATTCTAATTTATATTGATGTTCTATATTCCTACCATCTTGAGCTCTGAACAACCATGCACATCCAACATTCTCGCCGTCCTTACTACCATCAGTGAAAACATCAGTATTTTCAGAAGTAATTCCCGGTCCAGTCCATAAACTTGTTGCAGGGTGTAACCAAGATTTACAGTCAGCGATTCTTTCTATTTTGTCTAGGGTCAGGTCTTTGTATCCTCTCTTTCCTTTTCTAATGTTATATAAGGTCGTTCGTTCTTCAATCTTCATTTGGATTGGCAACAGCCCTGCCAATAATATTGTGGCCTCGAATGATAGTGTACGATAGCCCTTACATATCTTAATCGCAATTAACCTCTGAAGCCTTTCCAACTTCACCAAATTTTTCTTACGTTCAACGGCCGGATGCCAGACATGCACAGCGTAGAGCATCTTAGGAAGTACAGCAGCTTCATAAATTTCCTTTAACACTTCCGATCTGAGTCCCCATGTCGCTCTTGCAGCCACTGATAGTCCATTTATAATCCTTAAAGTGTTGTCATATAGATTATCTATATGTCTGTTCCAATTCAGTTTTCTGTCAAAGAGAAGCCCCAAATATGATAATGTATCACATTGCGTTATTCTTGCTGTATTGAGTCGAATATCCAATTCTGGTACAATTCTCTTTTTTGTGAAGATTATATATTTTGTCTTGTCTAGATTAAATTTAAGTTTGTTGCGTCTAGTCCATCGTCTCAGCCTTGATAATGTTATGTTTGCTATTGTCTGTAATTCATCGAAATCTCTTCGTTTTATAAGTAATAATAAATCGTCTGCGTATGCTAATAATGTTGAATTTTCCTGTAGGTCTATTTCGAAAACTGTATTGATTAAGATGTTCCATAGTATAGGTGATAGTGCTGATCCTTGAGGAGTTCCTAGCGTCAATTTCTTGTCAATATAATGAAAGTTTGTTTGGATTGCAAGTTTTCTGTCAGAAAAATAATTTTGAATGATTTTGTATATGTTTTTTGGACACTTATATTTCTTTAGATTATTTAAAATCGCAGGCCACCAGGCGTTGTCAAAGGCACCCGCGATATCCAAAGAAACAACCAGTAAATTACTATTTTGCCGGAGTGTACTGGTGATATGGTCGTTCAATTCACTGAGTGCATCGTCAGTTCCTGATTGGGGTCTGAATCCAAATTGATGTCGGTGGAGTATATTGTTACTAAGTAGATGATGCATTAATCTATTTTTTATTATTTTTTCAAAAATTCTACTCATTACAGGAAGCATACTTAGTGGTCTCAGTGAAAATGAATTAGCCTTAGGAATCAATGTTAATTTACCCACCTTCCAGCTTTTAGGAAATTCATTTCTTTTGAATAAGGTTTTATAAAGTCCAGTTATCAATTTTGGAAAGGAGTCAGCTATCTTTTTTATCATTCTTGGGTCAATTTTGTCTATTCCTGGTGCTTTCTTGTCATCCAATTTATTAATAACTTGTAATATTTCAAAATCCCGGATATTAGTGTCATCGTCATTATTAGGCGGGATAAGTATTTCTGTTCTCATTTGTCTGTGTTCGTTAGTGTCATCACTTGTATTGTCATCTTTGATTATCTTATTTAATATATGAGATAATGTATTCTTAGTGTTTGTTGTGTATGTTCCTAGTTCATTCAAAGTGGTAGTGAGTAAGGTTTGAGGTTTTATTTTATTGGATACAAACTTATATGGCCATTGCCACGCCTTTGATGCAGTAGCAAATGTCTTCCAGGACTTTAATTTGGAACTTTTAATTAGCTTTTGATATGCTTGCCTGCTTTTGAGATAGATCACTCTCCTTGATTCCCTTAGTCCATCGTCTTTTGTCCGCTGGTAATTTCTTCTTAGATGATTTGTCTCTTTACGCAAGCCAGTTAGTTCAGGGTTCCACCAAGGTACTGATCTTTTTCTAGTTCGACCTTTGAAATGGCCGGATCTTTTGAATGCTATATTGCAAGATTTTACGATAGATTTTATCATTTTATTTATGATAATATCAGTAGGCATAAGAGAAAACTCATTAAGAATCAGCTTTTCGGTATCATAAACTGTCAATTCCTTCTTATCAGTACAATGTTGAGATAAAAACTGTTTTTCTAACTGATGTATTAAGTTAGCCAAGAATTTATCCCAGTCACCATTCTCTGTCAAATATATATAGTTTTTTGCTAGCACTCCAGTTTTATCATTTCCCTGTAAATGTAACTCATAAGTCAAAATGTTGTGGTCCGAAAAATTTGTTTCTCTAGAAATTGTCCAATTTTTTACAATATTATGTCTAATCAGTTTTGTATTAGATAATGTTAAATCAATATTACTACTGCCTCGCGGCCCTTGGAAAGTCATTAGTTCGGAATTTATATTCATTAAGAACAAATCTTTCTCAACAATAAAAGTTTCCATATTTTTACCCCTTTCGTTAGTTTGTTTGTCGAACCAATATTTAGATCTTGCATTGGAGTCCAATCCAATAATGATATTAGAATCTTTGAAATAATCCAAAACGCGTTCTATTTTTTGTAAATCCAAATTTATGTTTCGGGTGATATCAAAATAAGCACATATTATTATACATTTTAATTCACTGTATGATATTTCTATGCAAACAAAATCACAATCAGAATGTTGCAATATCATGCAGGCATCAATGTTTTTATTGGTCACAACGAC